CATATGCTTTAGTAACACAAATCAGATTAACAATTTTTATGACAGGATGAGACGGTTTGTGTCTCCGGTTGGTACTGAGGATTGGTATGAGTTCTTGACTTCCGTCACTAGTGACCAAATTCAGCGGAAATATCCATTACTCTCACGTTCCACTGCCTATATAAGCTGTAGAAGGTTTTACTATATCGAGTTTATTGGGTTGAGAGGTCTCCAGCCATATTGTGTATATGTATTTCAAGTGGCTTGTGTAGGGCCTCTTGGGGTCCTATACGTTATGTCTCATCTACGATGTTCTATGGGTCATGACATAAAGGTAGTAAAGCAAGTGAATATATACAACAATATATGATCAATTAACTCTACAATTTGACAGTCAATATAAGCCAAATGGATAACTTCATTTCCAACATATCACATTGTAAAAATCAGTCATTCACAACTACTAATGAAGGACCTCGAAAAGTTATCACACAATCATTGAGCATGAAAGTCACCAAGTGGATACAGTAGTCATCAAGATAATCTATAATCAACAAGTAGTCACACACAATAGGTGGTTGTGAAGTTCCGGAGAAGGGGATTTCAATTATTATTATAAGCTTTGTGGGGAATACCGATGACGAATCTAAAAGCATCGATACAAAAAATAGAAGCTGAAATGGATAGGGTGTCGGTGTCGTCGTCGATGTCATGAGTCCGATGATGAGAGGAGGAATGCGGCCAAATTTATCGATGGTGTGTCAAACATTATGTAATGTACTGAAATACAAAAAAGAAATCGAACAAATTGGAGAATTTTATTGATATGGGGAAAAGACTACAACCACTAATTATTTTTTAATCCTAACAATGACGATCCGTAGTAATCTAACAACAACAACAACCCAGTGAAATCCCACTAGGTGGGGTCTGGGGAGGGTAAATAGTACGCAGACCTTGCCACTACCTCGTGGAGGTAGAGAGGCTGTTTCCAAGAGACCCTCAGCTCAAGAACATCAAATCTAAGTGACAGGGGAGATATATGCAAACATAACAGCCAATACAAAAGATAGCGTATAATCAACAAATGAGACAATAACAAGAAAGATATAGGGAGTGAAACGCAGTAAAAGAGATAATAAATATGGATCAAAAGAGAGAGATGGAAGAAGAGAATTTAGAAAGAGAATATTCGTGAGCCTTTGGATAGTGTGAAAATGAACCATATGAATCAGAATTAATTTTTAGTGTTAGTTAATTATTTGTAATAATTGATTATAAAAATGTCCAATCTATATATTATAATAAAGCTGGATATGAAAACGGTGGCGTGACACTCTCTAAGGGCTAATTCTTATTTATCTTTTTTATGATTTTTTTTTTTTGGCATTTTTCTCTAATTTCTTTCAATTATTTTATTTTCTTACCTCTTCAATTACATAAATTTTACTCTTAATAAATATTAATAATGTTCATAACTCCTAACCTTTCATATTCATAACCCTCAAATAATTTAATATACATATTGATGACATCTCAAAATCACACTTATAAAAACCTATTTTGAGACATATGTAATGATTTTTTTTTTTTTACATTTTTCCTTATTCTTCATCTTTTATCTCTTTTGTTGGTTAATTTTTTGTCTTCTTTTATCTGATTTTGCGGGAGAAAGATCTATAATGAAGATTGTTAGACATTTTTGTGCAGTTCGATTTTACAACGTAAAATTATTTGATGTGCCTAATATAGCTATCACTTTTTCACTGTTGCAATTATACATTCAATATAATTATTTTTGAATTCATGATACTATGAATCACAATTTTTTTCAGAAAAAATTGTTTGATTTTTTCTCTTTGCTTCTCTTTGTAGCTTATGGAGAATTTTTTTTTCTTCCTTTTGTAGTTTTTGGAGCATTTGGTTATGTTAAGTTGATAACAAGATCCTTCCTTTATTTTTAACTCATAATTAAATATTCTTTAAAGTTTTATTTGATTAGTTAACTTCATTTTTATAATTTTTTTTTTGTTGTTGTATGGTTAACTTATTTTATTTTCATGTCAGGATATTTTTGAAAATAGAAGCTGGAAAAAAAAATCAACACATACATGTATGCTACTCAATAAAGCATGTATATATAATTTTGTAGTCATGGAAATCAACTTTTAATCACTATTATGGTAAAACATGAGAATGTAAAGGGAATTCATAATTTTTAAAATATTGTATAATTTATAAAAAGATGTTTATTGATATGGAACTTTGTAGTCTTCATATTTTTTTATTTTTTTTTAATTATTAATATTTGAAGTTCTCAGGTTTTTGAGATTTTCAGAGATATTTGGCCAAGAATTTTAATTATCTTTTTATTTTCTCAATTTTTTTTTAAATAATTTTTCTGTTTATTTATTTCTTCATATTGAACAAAATGAATGTATCAATTACTACTCCTTCATTGATTCATATTTTTAATATAAAAATTTAAGTATCTTTATTTTCCGTACTTTAATGACTTTTGATGATCATAACTCCTAAATTATATTAATAATCATGTTTATGATATCATTTGATATTCTAAATTATCAAAAAATGATCAAATTTATATGTATAGTAAAATTATTATTATTATATATATATATATATAATAATAATAATAATAATAATAATAATAAAAACTAAAAAAATAATTTCCTTTAACTCCCTTCTTCTTTTTTTGAGAAAAAATTTAAATTCCTATCATTTAATTTTTTCAATAACAAATTATGTTAAAAGTGTTAAGAAAGATCATATATATAAATTAATTTTCTTCTTAACAATATAATGGTGTGTAAATACGGGTAATAAGAGTCGTATTTTTTTTCTTTTTTCTTTTTACCATAATAAATGTGTATATATGATTAATGTGTATTAAATTTATTATTATTGAAAGTAAATAAAAGTTTATTTTATTTTTTTGACATTAAAGAAGGAGTTATCCTTTGGAGAGTTTTTACTCCAATTTATTTATAATAATTACATCGATAATATTTTAATGATAGAAATAATTGTATTGATGTTGTCAAACTTTTTATTGTCCTATCTTCAACATTATATTGTATACACATATTATTTTAAAAAATCATTTCTTTGTTACTCTTTGATAATCTCTATACAATTGGATTAGGTAAGTATCACACCAAGTCACTAAATGATATCATGACTTATTTTTTAAATCTCATTTTACGTTATGTGTTTAAATTTTTTATTTTTTATTATAAAAAATAACCTCAATCGTGATGTTGCACTATCGCAACTTAATTCTCTCTTCTCGCAATGCCTCTACAAGAATGAGAGTTTAAATACAAAAAAACTAATATTAATGGATTTTATGAGACACAAATTGCATTAGATGAGTGTTGATACGAACATCGAATATCGAAAAAAATATATCTCTAACTTTTGAATTTCGTGCATAACTATGTTAGAATTCAATACAAGTGTTTCTTTCTCACCATGATTTACCACAAAAGTATTTTTATTTATTTATTTTTATTATTCTATCATTTATACAAAAAGAAAGTCACGTAATTTATGATCGAGTAGATCTAATATTGTTGATTGAACCAATAATGTTGCAATAAGAATCATTGAATTTAGTATGAAACTGTAATAATTAATTAGATTGTCAATTAACTGAAGCTTTTCATATCAATGTTTATATTTTCAACTTTTTATCAGTATGAAAATTTTATTTTAGCATTTTTTATGAATAAGTAATATCAAAGTTGTATTTTAATTTGTGTGTCTTTCATTTATTATATTATTTATTAAAATATTTATCAAAACATTTATCAAATAGTGAAATTAATTATGTAAAAATATATTTAAGTTTTTCTTATAACCGCACGAAGTGCGGACAAGTACACTAGTTAAAAACAAACACATATTCATACTAATCAGTTCTTAATACTTCTTTTTTATCGTTCACATGCTTTCAAGAGAGTGAACATATTCATTATGTAACCTCAACATCGAAAAGTATATTTATTACATTTAAAATAATTTAAGATGATATATAATTAAGGTGTGTATTGAAATTTCTGAGTTTTTGGCTAAAATCATCCTTAAATTATACCCCCAATTTAAACTACATTCTTAAATTATCCTTCTTAACAAAAACATCCTCCAAGTATTTAAAACTTAACAACTTTCATCCCTCTATTTAAATTTATCAAAAAATTAGCGAATTCCACACAAAAACATATGCAATTCATACTATTCTCATAAAAAAATCTATAATATTATTACCGATTGAAAAAAGCATCCAAAAAGAATAAAAAAAATTGACTCTTGTTAGTTGTTAAAAAAACAATGTTAGGACGATTTGAGTCTACGAGGAGATATGATCTTCTCTTCCCCTTTACCAACTAAATGAAGTTGGAGCTTAATTTCACACCATCTTCACCATTTTAAAGTCAAAATGTCGTTAGATCAATAATTTTGGGGCAAATTGATAATTGAGGTCATCAAGATTCAGCTAATTTTGATCTCTAGTATTCAAGTTTCATTTTCCATTATTAGAAGTAAAAGTCTTCGATGGACACCACTTTTTGCAGATTCAATGAAAAGAAAACATTTCCATTGATAATTCTTTGATATCAAATCAAATGAAAAGTAAATAAAAATAAAATTGCTAATTAAAAGGAAGACAATGCAAAACGTTATTACTAAAGAAATTTATAATATTATTTTAGATGTATGTAGAATGAACAGAATTGGTTTATTGGAGTGATTTAGGGAGTTTAATTTATTGAGAGTAGTGTACACCGTACATGTTGTTGTGAAGAATTTGTTAGTTTTTGACAAATTTTAACAAAAGGATGAAAGTTGTCAAATTTTAAATAATTGAGGAAAGAAAAATAATTTATAGATGTAATTTAAGTTGAGGTATAATTTAAGGATGTTTTTTGCCAAAAACTCGAAATTTCTCGTATAGTTAAAAGGAATACTTGTACCTTCTCCCTTGAAAGAAAAAATATAAAAAATCCTCCAATTAGAAAGGAGGGGTAAACTATAAAAACGAAAGGAAAAGGAAAGGCAGATCCACTTGTACAATTTCATTCAGTGAACGCAACAATGGTTCCTCTTCGCTCCATTTCGATCTTCACCTTCGGCTTCCTTCTCCTCTTCCTATGTTCCTCGTTGGCGGAGCAGCAACAGTTTGCCGTTGATGGGAAAGTATTGGAACTTGATGAATCCAACTTCGAAGCCGCAATTTCCACCTTTGATTATATGTTTGTCGATTTCTATGCTCCTTGGTGTGGTCACTGCAAACGTCTTTCTCCTGAGGTATTACTTCCTATCCTTTTCTTTGCTTGATTTGCTTCTTCTTCATTTTTTAAAAAAAGGTTTGGATTTGTTTATACTTCAATGCTGTATTGTTAGTGTGAAATTAAGGATGATTTACATTGAATTACGTAATGAATAACAGATATATACTCATTGCTGTAGTTTCCAGGAAGTAATCTTCCACCAAAATTTAAAGATGTATTAGAATGGGAAAATATTCAACTTGGAGTAGTTTTAGTGAAGCTTCTAAATGTATAAATTTTATTTTCAAAAAGTAGACGAAAATCGGTCACATTGTCCCTCAGACATTGGCTTTGATAAAACAAAACTATAGGATATAAAGTTATATCATCTTAAAGTTTTGTTTCGAAATTTTAATTATTGATTAATTATATATGGAAGTTAATACCTACTAATGTAAAATGATGGTTTGGTACATGAATCAACTCTGCCTCAGCTGCTAGTGTATATATGTTTGCACTCTCTTATGGTACCTAATAAGGTGTTGATAGTGTTATATTTGACTCTTGTGAAATTCTTATAAAAAGAAATAGGCACTTGAGAAATAGATGTTTATGATCTAACCTGATTTGAAACTATAGAGGGTTGGAGGGCTTATCAACGGTCATGTAATTAAACTCATGTGAAAAGGAAGCTCTCCTTCATGCTACGAAAGAAAATAGAATGATTTCATTTACAGTGAAAAAAGATTTTGGATGCTGCCCATTTAACTTAATATATGTTCACATCCATGATACATGAACTGCCAGAAAGAAGCTGTGTTTCATGAACAACAAAGTTCAAGAGGCTGAGGAAAACACTGCTGGAGGCTGATCTTAGCTGCTGGATTAGCTTGTTTATGGTCACTAGTGAGGAATTACTCATTTCGTAACTTGTTGTGACATTTTTCCCTCTTGTGGTACTGGTCAAATGCCTCCTCACAAGAATTTGTAAAGTTCATATGCAAAGTCAAATATCCAATCAGGAGACTTTAAAAAAAAAAATTCCAATCGGGAGAGGAAAAAAGGGGTCAGCGATGACGATACCTTGGAAAGCAATTCATTCCTCCAGTACATAAAGCGGAGAAGAAGATAGGAGCAATAGAGGATATTGAGATCAAAAAAGGATATTTGATTAAATATAAAAGGCTTAAATTAAACTTGCAAAGGAAGTTCATTGATATCAGACAAGATCATGATATGTCATGTAGGAACTAAGAAGTGATTGTTACCACCTGTTAATAGGCTGATAGGCATAGTTGTGTGTCTTTCTAGTCTTATCAGCTGTTCCCTGTCTTCTAAGAGAAAATTTCTCCCTTTAATAGGAGTGCCTCTATTTTGGGTGGTTAAGTGTGTTGCTTGTGATCACTGAAACTGCTTGAGAGATGAGGTTGAATTGTTTCTTTCTAAAGTTTGATGATATTGATATGTTCTTCAATAGAAGGTGTTATCAAGCTTTTTACTTGAGTTCACTAAGCTTCATACTCTGCATTCTATGTTAGAATTCTTCGTCAACTAAGGGACATTTATTTTGTTTTCTTCCCCATACAAGTTTAGACATGTGAGCAGTATTTCATTTGATTTTTTTATTGGATAATAGATATTTTTGAATGTGACATCACGAAGCACTCTGACAAAAGTTCCTTGCAGTTGGACAAAGCGTCTGTCAATCTTGCTGTATTGAAGCAGCCCGTTGTAATTGCAAAAGTAGATGCTGATAAATACAGTCGTCTTGCTTCTAAATATGAAATTGAGTATGTCTGCTTTACACATTAGTTATTACTACAATTATTTTTTGTTAAATCATTTTCACAATGTGCAACTTGCTTTTTGGTTAAATCAAGTGGCTCGAACCAAAAGAAGAGAAAAAGCTATTCTTTAGTTTGGTAAACATATTTATTAGCATTAGTAGATTCACGCCATATTTATTAGCATTATTAGATTCACGACATATTTATTAGCATTATTAGATTCACAGTTTGTTATCTTAATCAATTTGTTAGTCTTCTATAGATCGCCAAAGACTGTAGATGCAGATCCTTTCCTTGAGAAAAGTAAGGGTATTAAAAAGGAAACAAGCACCGAGAAGGTACTGTTCAAACGTATTTACAGAGAATCCTAAGATGAATTCATTTTTATTCTGAGAAGATTCTATAAGATTTATCATTGCTCAGCTTCATTTAAAAGTTCTGTTTACACCAAAAGTAAAACAAAAGTATACAGTTCATCATTATCCTCTGATTAGAGTTTTCCTTGTCTTCAAAGCATCTGTCATTTCTTTCTCTCCAAATATTCCACTATATACATGCAGGAATAGTATACCACCATTTCTTCTGCTTTGTACATCTTCCTTTAATATTCCAGCACTTTGAAGTTCACATGTATCTCTGCGCGGTCCATTTAAGCCCCATCATGTTAAGGAACAAGTAACAACTGATAATGCAAAAATAGATGATTGACATTGTCAGATTCTTTTTTACATATATAACTGTTTGAGCACAACATGATTCCTCCTCTGTAGATTTTCATCTGTCAAGCATGCCTTTCTAACCACCAACCAGGTGACCCATTCCACTTCATAAGGGACATTTATTTTCCAGATTTTTCCTCAAGACCAACATCCTCCTTGCTCTCCAACAGATATTTTTTTGGAACAGGTAACATTTTTGTGTATTAATAACACACTACACAAAGGGTGTGTAGTCCCCCATATTTAAATCCAGATGGGCAAAAAACTAAGCTCCTAGTCCTTAATCTTCTCATAAGGAACTAGTACATCATAAATTGATTCTAATTCTTCCATTATGCTATGTTTACACCACAAAAAGAAAAGCCCTAAACATTTCATCTTTAGTTTCTGTATACTAATGGCTTTGTCTTCAAAACAAGATTTTACTGTAAAGGCACCCTTTCTATGAGGATTCCGGATTAGTTTATCTTATCCTTCAGTCAAACCTTTGAAAAGTTCGAGTATTTTCAAGAAATCAGCCATTATGCCTGATTCCCAATCATTTAAATGTCCCTGAAGTTAAAATTTCATCCTTGTTTCCTCCTCAGAATAGCCAAACTAGCATCAGGTAGAACAGTACATCTGAATAGATCAGGGAATACATCTTTGAGGGATATTACCTAATCCAGTTATCATCCCAAAAAAAGAAATCATTCTTCCATCACTCGCTACAAACCCAATATTACCAACAATGTTTTGCCAAAGAGTCTAATACTCCTCCATAAACTTGCTCCATATGGTGAAGTCACTACTTTGTAGTCCAAATACCTTGAGACCCATACTTCACACTTTTTACTTCTTTCCATAGTGCATATTCTTCTGAAGTGAATCTTCACAACCATTTCATCAGTAAGCTGCAGTTGTGTTGCCTCAAAATTCTAATGCCTAAACCCCTTCTCTTCTTGTTTTTTTAATGACAAGGGAAACTGCAGCCACTACCCTTTGGGTGCGCACAGGTTAAAACTCCTCCTATGTAATAGCTCGCAAACCACATTGGAGAGGCAACCCGCACTAGGCAAGCCCGATGCGACGAGCTCGACCCAGTAGGCAAACCCCTTGCTTTCGCTGGCAAGGGGTTTCGAACATGAGACCTCCAACATGGAAGTCCCAAGCCCAAACCACTGGGCCACCCCGAAGGGTAACCCCTTCTTTTCTTGTTAAGTGTAAGTGAACTCCATCTAACTAAATGGAAAGTTCTCTTATCTCTATTGCCCTGCCAAAGAGAATCCCTTCATAGTTTGTCTAACCTCTTCTCCACTTTGACCGGTAATAAAGACATCACCTACGTGGGAAGGGCATCAATGACACTATTTATCAACATCAATCTTCCCCCAGTGTTGCTAACCTCTCTAAAACTCCCTACCCAATGTATAAAGCTTTGTTCCTATTGAGAATATTATTAAATAATAAAAGTGTGCTCTTTTTAATAACTTAAGTTTTTTGATGAGATGATCAACATCCTTCAACATGGTATCAGAGTGGGTAGAGGTCCTGAGATCGTATCGCACCGTCACCCATATCAAAAGGAATTTCCACGTGCTTGGCTCATGAAAAAAAATCAGGCTTGCATGTGAGGGGGCGTGTTGAGAATATTATTAAATAATAAAGTTTTCTCACTCTAACAACTTACTCTTTTAGAAGAGATGGTCACACTTCAACAGTTCCTTGATCCCAGTGGCAATCCCATCCTGATCCATTATTCATCCCTATATGAAACCATTTTTGGATTGCAACAGACAAAAAATCGAAGGAGGATACTGGTTAAATCACATAGGTTATCACACACGCACGCAAAAACATGGAACTTAGCTTGAGCATCCTGCCCGAGCCTCTTTGCTGTCTCACTACACCTAACAGCTTCCACCACCATCCACTGCTCTGCACCTCTCCCGAACCTCTTTGGAGCCTCCTTAATCTTACCTTCCATATCCCAATTCAGAACATGATCTCAATTTGCCTTCTCTACCAGACTCTCCCATATCTAAGTAGTTCCGACATTTCTGGAATTTCCTTGCACATAGCCACATCTAATGTTGCATTCTGATGTAGGATGCTCATTTTATTTGGCGAGTCCTCGTCAGAGGCAGATTATCTTGGTCAGATAAGCAGAGGAATGTGCTGCTGGTTAGAAGATAATGCAAGGGGGAATGAGAACATGATGTTGTGTTGTGGACTTTGTGGCCTAAGGATTTGTAATTGGGGTTTTATTTAATTAGTGGAGGATGTTTTCTATAGAGTCCCCATGAGGGTGAATCAGCTAACAGCAATTTTTTTCAGTCTCCTTTTTCACCATAGTATAAACATTGGCTGAAGTCCAAACATTTTTTCCTTTTTGGGGGAGGATGAAAACGGAAGAGACTTTGGACTCAAGGTTCCTATATGCTCTTCATGCGACAATTAATATAAAAAAGACAGACTATACCCAACCCAATATGTTTTGAATTGAGGCATAGTTGTTGTAAATGTTTTAGAATTTTGGATAATTTATCACTAGTAAATGAAAATTAATGTTGGAAACATGGTCAATGAGGATTCATATACCCGACCCAATAATTGAGGCGTAGTTGTTGTAAATGTTTGCAGTTATTGGGTAAAATAACAGTGAAATGTTTCTTTTGTTGCAATGCAGTGGATTTCCAACTTTGAAGATATTCATGCATGGAGTTCCGACAGATTATTATGGACCAAGAAAGGCAGATTTACTTGTGAGATTCTTGAAGAAGTTTGTCGCTCCTGATGTGTCCGTACTCAATTCTGACTCTGCTATTAGTGAATTTATTGAAGAAGCTGGCAAAAACTTTCCTATATTCATAGGCTTTGGTTTGAATGAGTCTGTCATATCACATTTGGCGGTGAAATACAAGAAAAGTGCATGGTTTTCTGTGGCAAAAGATTTCTCAGATAAAACAATGGAATTCTATGATTTTGACAAAGTACCTGCATTGGTAGCCCTTCATCTGACCTACAATGAACAGAGCATATTTTATGGCCCTTTTGAAGGTCAGTAAGTTCTTGAAATTTTGGTGTAGTCACAACCCTTTGTGTTGGCTTTATTCCCTTTTCATATGGAACACACAATTGTCAAATACTGGGATATGTTTATTCTTGAGAGGTTTCAGCTTATATGCTTAGTAGCTGCCCTAGTTCCATGGCTATGAGCTTTATACAGTGTTTTTCATTTTAATTTCTTGGTTCTGCATATTAAAGAACAACTGATAACTATTTTCAGCTGAGATTGTGCCTTGAAAATTTTGTTACAAACAGTGGCTGAACCTAATCTTTCCTGCTATAGTTGCAGAAAAGTTCCTTGAGGACTATATCAAACAGAGCTTGCTCCCTCTGGTTTTACCTATTAATCAAGACACTCTGAAGGCGTTGAAAGACGACAAGAGGAAAATTGTTCTAACAATTGTGGAAGATGAGGATGATGAGAGGTCAAAAGGACTAGTTAAACTCTTGAAAGCTGCTGCATCTGCGAACCGTGACTTGGTGTTTGCTTTTGTTGGGTTCGAGCAGTGGCAAGACTTTGCCGAGTCATTTGAAGTATCTAAAAAAATTAAACTACCGAAGATGATTGTGTGGGATGGAGACGTGGAGTATTTTTCAGTAAGCTTGAAACCTTCTTTTCCTCTCCCTCTCTCTCTCTCTCTCTCTCTCTCTTCAAGTGTAGTTTTGCCCAGCAATGTTTTACAGCTCTAAACAAGATTTTGCTTGTGTGCTCCTTCACCATGTTAAGTTAGCAACCAGCATGACCTTGCGCATTCTATAATTTCTCATTTAAGTATTAGAGTGACATGAATCTGTTGTTAGCCTACTTTCTGTTTGGACTTCCTCCTTTTTTGCCACTTTCCTTATATATTAATTAACCAGCTCGTACAAACATTAATTATTCATGTATTATAAACGTGTTTTAGAGGTTCAGATTTCCACAAGTGATCTTGAACTATGGATGACCTGATGACTTTAGTAGACATCGCCTAGGTCATGTAAGTACTAAAATAAAAAGAGAAACAAGGAACATAAAGCCCAAACACATGAAATAACGTTGTAAATGCTCAGTTGGATTTTTTCTCCTCTCCAGCTAATAGATGCCACCAGAAGTTTCAGGGTGACAAATATTGCAGGACTATGGCAATTTTAAAACCATTGGACATGGTCTTATTCTTGACTTTAATTGTACGTAAATTTGGAAATTTAGTCTTTGTTTATCTATGAGTGTTTATTTTGCTTCATGAGGAGTATGAGTCACTTTTGACTTTTAGATTTGATGCCTGCTTAGGTTTTAATAAACTAATAAAGCTCTGCATAAAAAACTTAAGCTGATTTTATCTTGAATTCTTATTAGTTACCTAGTCCATACATATTTGCTTAGGTTTTATAATTATATGCTTCTCTTCTCTGGGAAGAATCGATGCTGGATGCATATCGTGAAGCCATAGGGGAACCTGGAGAAAATATTGAGTGTTGTATCTATTTGACTGGCATTTGAATCTTGAGATGACCTTGTAATGTATTGCATTTTGAGGTAGTAATTGACTTTATTTACTGATGTGGAGCTTTTACACAAACAATAGGTCATCGGCTCAGACAGTGTTGAAGATGAAGATCAGGGGTCCCAAATTACGCGGTTTCTTAAAGGATACAGAGAAGGAAGTGTTATACAGAAACACATCATTTCAGATGATTACAAGGCTTTCAGAAACTCAATGTTTCTGATCGGAGCACTTATCCTTGTTCTCGTTGTGATACTGGTGTCGATGATGATGCAGTCTGTTAAAGAGGAACCCTCAAGAGAACAGGTTGATCATTCCACATCTCTATCAGAAGCCAGAGAAGCACTTCGTTCTGGCGATAAACAAGACAAGATAGATTAAGTTTACACTTTTTGGAACATTAATTTCAATCTAACAGAAATAAGTAGCTTGATAAATTTTTTACAAGATGAGCAATTTGACATGGCAGCCTCAGAAAAATGTTTTAAGTTTCAGATCCATAATTTATCATAAACGAATACACCAACAGCTATACTTGTAGAATTGGGGAAAATGCACAATGTACCTGTCCAGCCTATGCCCAAAATCCCTAATACACACTTAACATTTACTAAGGTCATATTATCCTCGAACTTATTTTATATATAATTTTCTACCCCTTTTCGGCCTACGTGACACTATCTTGTGGGCTCAGCGCGTGTTGACAATTTTTTCAAGGATAGTGCCACGTAGGCCGAAAAGGGGTAGAAAATTAATTAAAAAATAAGTTCGGGGGTAATAGGACCTTCGTAAAGGTTAGGTGTGTCTCAGGGATTTTGGGCATATGTTGGGGGGTACTTATGCATTTTCCCTATAGAATTGCTTTCGTGAAAGGATTGGTGATTTATTTATGAGAAAATAGTCAACTGCCCCCTCAACCTATTATCGAATTTTCAACTACACACTTATGTTTCACGGGAGTCCTATCATCCCCCCTCCCCCCTAGACTATTTTAAAACGAAATAATTACATTCTTAGATACTGACATGGCACAGAGAGTGTCCTCACTCTCTTAGAGGCACGTGGAAGTAAGAAGAATTGATAAATAATATTTTTAATTTGACTTTTTGTTAAATATATATTTTTTACTCTTCTCTTCAAGTTTTTTGTTTCTTTTTCTTTTTTTCCCTCTCTTTCTCATTACTCAACATGCACCCCACCACCATTTCCTCCACCTTGAACCACCATCACTACATTAACCACATCTTTATATCCATCTTCTAATTATTTTTTTCTTACAATTTGTTTCACTATTTTCTACAACTAACACTGCAAAATCATCAAATAATTATTAAAATTGTTACTCATATTGCCGGAAAAATCAAATTGTCCTTAATCTCACTATTCCAAAAAAAAAAAGCACAAGAAGAAAGATAGGAGAAACAAAACTTAAAAAAAGAATAGAATTATTAAACACTTTCCATCATAAAAATTCATTCTATTATTGAATTTTTTTAAATTATTGGAGATATCCAGTGAATTAAAACAATTATGACTATAAAATAACTTTTTTCGATCATGAATTTCATAAAGCAAACTAAACATGAGTTTTGGGTATTGATCTAGGTTATCCATCTTTTTTCATTTTTATCAATCTCAAATTAGTTCAAAATATCAACACCATTAATCTACCTTTTCACCGATTTTAGGCCAGTAACATACATCAACCATCAGATTTTATCTTCAATCTCTATTGTTGTTTGGTGAAGACCCAAGAATTTAACCATCAACAACCCATAAATAAAATATTACAAATTTGGTGTTCTGGAGACAAAGAAATAACATAATAAAAAAATTTCAAAAAAAGAAAAGAGATGAGTAATCAAGCTCGTCAAGGTGCCTGAAGGATGATATAAAGTGATGAAAAAATGCTAATAAAAATAGCTTCGATTTTTTTCATGAATGACTAATTTGGAAGAAGTGAATGAAAAACAAAAGAGAAAAGGAGGAATAAAAAGAGTAAAGATCTTTTTGTAATTAATGAAAAAGCATATACAAAGGAAAAAATAACAAATAAATAGTTGGCAGCGAGTGAGCATCACTATATGTTGAGAATGTGGTTGTCTAGTTTTAGGGTGGTATATATTTATTTTTGAAAAATTCAGGAGGGTAATAGGACCCCCACAAAGTATATGTGTGTAGTTGATAATTCGATAATAAGTTAGGGAGACATTTGTCTATTTTCTCTTTATTTATTATTGAAGTTGTGGAGAAAGTGGGCTCAAATATTATTTTGTGTTGTGTATAATGAGTTAAAAAACAAAAACAAGAATGCTCTTGTTTTGTTCTTGTACATAATATGTTGTTAAATCCCGCAGCTTGTTGAAATCAGAAGAAGATAACTCATGTATTTAACTCTAGAATTAAAAAAAATGTGATCGACATTACAATCCAGACCAATTTGATACTACAAATTTTACATTTTCATTATTGCAAAATCAGTAATGATGGCTGGAAAATTGCTATTCTTTGGTGAAGATCTTGTATCCAAATTGAGAGGAAAGATGAAAACCATCAACCCCATATTTACATGGGCCAAATAAACAGAAACCATTGGCCAAATGTCAAGATGTCAAGATTTTTGTGTGTGTGTGTGTGGGGAACCATTTAAAAAAGAAAATATGATCAGTAAAGATTCATATAACCAACTCCAATTGATTCGGGACCGAGGCATCATCCTTATTGTGAAACGTTAAACCTGTTCATCCTCTGATTACAACTGACCCAATACATTCAAACTAGAAGCTTCAGTCATCTGTGTCAATACTCTATACATACAAGCTCAAACCCTAAGCAAAAGGTTTCAACTAAAAAGACCTAAACCATCTTGCAAATGGAGACTGCTAACATCCATAGCACTAAACAAGAAGGGTACGTAAAAGAGGGCTACTGCATACAGCATGAACACCCATCGCTTTGCGCGTGCACTCGTAAAAACCTCCAAAAAAAAATAGTAAAAACCTCAATATAGAAATCAAATCTATAACATTAGTGTTACACAAATAATATACAAATCCAGGGCTTCCTGTCATTTTCCTGTCTGCCCATATGCCAGAGCTGCATCTCCAAAGCTGTTGCATTGTCTTTAGGTGTTATTTGAGGTGAAGATGACCCAAACTCATTGATCTTTGTTAAAAGGGTAGCGCAAACTTGAACCCAGATTTTCCAGAACCAACACATCACGACTCACATCCCGGAAGAGACTGAGCTGAAGCAAATGGCGAAAAGCTAGTGGTTGACTCACTATGACGCAGTGGATTGGGATGCCGACTTGAGGAGCCAATATAACTGGACGAGGCATTTCCTGGACTAGGAATATATGGTGACATGTATCTTGAATTAAGAGGAGATAGAGAAGGATAGCCCAACGAGTGAGGCGAAATCAAATAAGATGCACGAGATCTCTGGGAAGACGCATTCTGAAGGTCAAGTGAACTGCGGCTTATACTAAGATGAGGCGACTGATGGTAGGACTGAAGTGACTGGTGGTTATAAGGAGTACTAGAAATTGATAGAGGACGAGAAACTGAAGGGGATCGGGATGCTCCTTGGCCTATTTGTATTGCTGATGATGAAGCTACTGACGATCTTAGGGATGACAACGAAGATAAAGAAGCTAGACTAGAAGAAAGCAATGGTGTAGATTCTGATGCTGGTGGCTCACCATTGCTAGTTCTTGCATCACGTTTACAGACGGGACAAAACGTTCTCCATGATGTGAGCCACGCATCAACGCACATAGCATGAAATTCTGCAAAAATTCCGAGGAGATCCATTACTGAAAAATGACATCTACTCCAGTAGACAAGAAATCTGATGAGAACAAACAGGATATGACATGTATCAACAAATTACTGCCCAGATTGGGAAAGTATTCATATTAACTAAAAACTAAATCCCATAGATATACCAAATTAGCACATTCACAATGAGATATAGCAGCAGGGACGAGGGTAATATTCTGACCACACTTTAACTGTAGCTTTGAGGTTTTACCATAGTTTGCTGCCTAGAATCTTGACAGTGACTATTGCAGAACTAATGTTCATAGATATGGATCCAGAATATAATTATTGAATATTACTCAATATTTTTAGAAGTGGAAAGTGCAAAAGAGCAACAACTCCAGGAAGTTTTAACAAAAAACATCACGTGTAATCCTTCAATGTAAAGTGCATTATTCACAGAAAATACAAACTTATCGAATTTCAACCAACATTATCAATCTCAATATCAAATCTATAAAAATAATCAGCATGTTCCGTTGTTCCGTTCTATAAAATAATCTACATGTACCCTTGAACAGCATTCTCTTCATGTTGTTCTTTTTACATCAATAAAACACCTACTTTACCAATAAAAGAATAAATTACACCTCTGCAATAAAACATGAGAGCTAAAATGCTTAGGGTTTTCAGAAATAGTTGACAGTAATCAAACCCAGCACGTTTACTAAGCTCTGCAACAATAGCCATGACATGCTCATGAACTAAAATTCTCTTGGCTGTCTTAGCTGTGAACTCTGAGATACCCAGAGCTTAGGAACTTCTGATCCCCCTGAAGAAATTAACTCCACTTCTACAATATTACTTCACTAACAAGGTTTCAGGGCAGGATTTATGCAAGGGCTTTAGACTAAGGTTTCTGATCTCTTTGACAACATTAATTCCAATTCACTCCTCAAGCAATGGTACAAATCTGAATTTCTGCTCTAAAAACAACATCCATCTAGATCTGCATAGATTTCAAAAAGACCATGCAATGGATATGCTGAAACACATACGACACCTTCAATCAAAAGTTCTGGTAGAATATGAGGAGTAATGTGTCTATTTCTGAGAACCCATTCAGCTTCAAGCTGGGGCGATCGACAATGGAAGCCATTCACCTTCTAAGGAGATTGTATAGGGAGAGGAATAGAGGTGTACATATAGTGTTCATTGACCTAGAAAAGGCATAGGACAGTCCCAAGGGAGGTTTTATGAAAATGCTTGGAATCTAGAGGTGTACCTATTGCGTACATTAGAGTGATCAAGTACATGTACAATGGATCCAAGACCCGAGTGAGGACAGGAGATTCGAAACACACAGTTGAGATGGGATTGCACCAAGGATTAGCTCTCGGCCCATTTTTATTTGCCTTGGTGATGAATGAACTGTCATAGTATTGATCTCGTCCATGGTATTGATCGACAAGTCACATGGCGTAGTTGATAACAATCGGAGATTTGGAGACAGACCCTAGAGCTCGTTAAGCAAGACTAAACCAGAGTAAATGGAGTGTCAGTTCAGTGACGAACCACAGGAGACAGATGGGAAAGTAAGGATTGATACACAAGTCATCCTCAAGAGAGGAAGCTTCAAGTATCTTGGATCAATAATCCAAAAAAATGGGGATGGCACATCATATTTTAGCAGGATGGATGAAATGGAGGCTCGATTGGTGACCTATGTGATAAAAATGTGTCACCAAGACTTAAAAGGTAAGTTCTATAGAATGGTAGTTAGACCGGCTATGCTGCATGGATTGAATGTTGGTCCGTCAAGAACTCTTACGTTCAGATTTCCGAAGAGGAAGATAGCAAAACTAAGGATGTATGAGCAGACTAGGAGAGACAAGATTAGAAACGAGGATATACTGGACAAGGTGGGAGTGACCTTTGTAGCAGACAAGATGAGAGAAGTGAGGTTGAGATAGTTCATGCATGTGAAGAGGAGAAGCACAGATGCCCAATGAGGAGGTGCAAGAGGCTGGTAGTGATAGGTCTAAGGAGATGTAGGAGTAGATTGAGGAAAGATTGGGAAGAGGTGATTAGACATGTGAGTCCGGAGCCAAAAGGGCAAAAATTTGAGTGAAATTTCCAAAAGGGCAACAAAAAATAAGGTTGAAACCAAAAGGGCAACATTTAGATGGAAGGGTGACGCCATAAAATTTTATGGAGGAAGGCGTAGTTTCCCATGTGCCATACAAGGCACAAGGCGACATGGTACTGGTAAGTCGCAGGTCTGCTTGCGCCTTGTAAGGCGCATGGGATCCTGCGCCTTACTCTTTAGCATAAAAAAAAAAAGTTTAGTCACTCCAGGAAAAACCGTTTACGCCTTGGATTAATGTATACTACTTACTGTCAGAATCATATATAATCAGATTCGTTTTTTATCTTTATGAAATAGTCAAAAGATTTCCACTGGACTATGTTTAACATGCAATAGTTTTACTATGAAAAATGACAAATATAATCCATTTTTTTAATGTTATGATAGTGCTAGTTGTAATATTGTATTCTCAGATCTCCTGCAATATTATTGAAGGGTTGAAGCTATATATAAAAAAACAAAAAGAAAAAAATGTTTTTGCCCTGGTTACGTTTTTTTCTATAGTGACTAAACTTTTTTTTTATGGTAAGGAGTAAGGCGCAAGCTCCCATGCGCATTACAAAGTGCAAGCAAACCTGCAACTTACAAGTACCATGTCGCCTTGCGCCTTGTAAGGCGCATGGGAGACTGTGCCTTCCTCCATAAAATTTCACGGCGTCACCCTTCCGTTTAAATGTTGCCCATTTGGTTTCAACCTTATTTTTTGTTGCCCTTTTGGAAATTTCACTCAATTTTTTTGCCCTTTTGGCTCCGGACTCTTAGACATGTCATGACTCATCTTCAGCTCACTAAGGACATGACCCGAGATAAGAGAGCATGGAGGTCGAGGATTAGGATAGACGGTTAGTAGTAGTCGAGCAACTTCTCTCTCCCTAGTGATAAGCGCATGGTTCTAGACGGGAGCACCTATCTGCTCCCTTACAATAGTAGTTTTTTTTTTTGGTAAAAACCAATAGTAGTTTATTTTGTTAGCATTAGCCTATTCTTCAGTTATTACTACGGTTGTTACTTATAATTTGGCTATCTTTACAATTTAGTTGTCAGTAATTTCTTTTCTTTCCCTGATAGTTCATCATAGCTTATTTACTCTTTCTTTTTCTCAAACTTATTTTGAAAAACGATTTTTATGAGCCTAGGATCTTTCAGAAAGAGTCTCTTTACACCACAAAGGTAAGAGTAAGGTCTGTGTGCACCCTACCCTCCCCAGACCTTACTTGTGGGACCACACTGAGTGTGTTGTTGTGTTTGTAAGTAATATTATGATATAGAGTTGAAAATTTGCAAAATTTCATCTCAAAAGTGCATGCATGTTATAGTGATTACATCAGAGTTTTTACCCAATAGAGGGACATGAGGTAACCTTTTGACAGGCGGAAAGACATGAACAGAAGTACACAGTTCGCCAAACAAGTAGCAATAATGCGACCAGATAATAGAGTGTCCTTCGTCCAGAAAGTGAAAACATTCTTTAAGCAAGCACAGAATCCATCATGCTGCCTGAGATGTGGTTGCGCTAGGCCATAAGTCAGAGATGAAGGGAAGCCAGAAGTGCCACTTCTAAATTCCCTGAGGAAGTCCTAAAATATGTAATAAACCCTGAAATCTACCAATAGTGCATATCACCAACCCCGACGTAAGCTATGTCAAGCAATTTTAGAAACCAATCACCAGGGTGTAACTCAAAAAACACAATAGGAAAACCTTGTCAAGTGACAACAACTCAAAAAGAATGAGCTTCTCCCAAGGAAGGAACCAACCCTAAGGAATTAGTGCATTCATTGCTTTTACCTAAGTGCCAAACAGAACCTTTATATATGAACAAGCTGAAAATCACAATACCTCAGGAAGAGAGAAAAACTTACTGTGCCGGCAAGGAAGAATTCTAAGCTTGTCTCCCACAATATAGTCTTCAAGACAGATAGCACATGTTACTGATGTACAATTATCCTCCAAAACTGATGTAAATATCAAGCTTGGCATAGCTTTCACCAAACGACTACTCATTCCATGAAATTCACGAACACGTGAGGCCCGAGGCCGGTCTCTTCGTATCCGATGTCTACGGACAAAGAAGCAAGTAGCAAGCACTGCTGACATAGCTAGTAACGAAATGAATGATATAGCCATGATGGACCAGGCAGAGTTCTCAAAACTTGGGATTATCCATATTTCAACATCAATGTCACCAGCATACTTTGTCAGTCTTTCCCCTGAAACTCTAGAAACAAACACCGCGGGAATCTGTACACCAGCAGAGTTTCCTGCCACTGTATCATGTGACTAGTTAAACACTTGGATGTTCAAAATTCAACAGTTTTAAATACTTGAGCAACAGGAAGCAAGAGTTAAAAGTGGTTTTGCTTCTTTCAGACAATTTCTTGGTTCTCTTTTTTTGTTTCCCCTCTCACAGGGAAAATGGTCAGTGACATAGTTGTCTCCTAGTTTCTCAGTTTTCGAGCATGAAAATTCCTGATGCATTACATTCAGAAACCAGAGGCTAAAACCAAGCCTAGAAGATGTATATCGAATTGTGACAAATAGAACAATTGCCAGCAAAATAAGACTTGTTTGTTTGAGCTTGCTATAAAATGAGCAAGCTGACTTCACATATTTTTAAAGCTGCTTTTTTAAGTAGAAGATGGTCTCCACTTGCAACAAAAATAGGTGGAAAAACCCAGCGAATATGACTTGAGTATGAATCTCATTATTAAGTCAGCTATATGCTAAGACACCGTCTTCCCCATGAGAGAGAGAGAAGAGAAGGAACTTCTAGAAAAGCTCTTGATATATCAACAAAGGATGCTACTTCGATGAATGATCAGAAGTCACCCACATATAGAGCACTGTTGCATAATGATGTCATTTTGTCTTTCTGACCGGGTAGTAATCAAAGAGAACCACATTTACGTGTACGCTGTCTAGTTTTTATGCACCATTTAAATACCAGGACTTAAATCCCAGAATGTCAGTAAACCATTACATCAAATATAAGATCAGGATAGCAAAAAGCAATAGACATTGTTAGTGAAAATGTGTTATTTCTTAACAATTTTCCTCAATCACCTTTCACCCAGTTATCAGTGCTGAAGCAGTTTTCAGCTGAAAACAGTCATGACTTATAAACATACTTGTATAACTGTCACTTATCAAGAGAATAAAAAAAGAACTTGTACAACTGTTATCCAGGGACCAGGATAACTTACAAAAACGACATTTGAATTGTGCTCGAGGTGCTTTTTATGTGGATCAAGTTCAGAGAGCATAGATCATTTGTTTTACACTGCTACATCACTGATCAATTATGGTAACTGTTCCCTCAATGGTAGGACTTAAATGGTGCATGCTCAGAGACAACTGAGCTGTTGAAGTGCTGGAACATCAAGGGTAGGAACAAGTAGCAAAGGGAATGGGGGTGCACTATACCTTCATGTATTTGGTGGTCCATTTGGCGTGAAAGGAATCTGAGGTGCTTTGAAGATGAAGAAAGCTCTATTAAAAAGATCAAATCTTCCATTGTGTTTAACATTTTAGAGCAAAGTCGAGCAGTTTTGGTAATGAGATTGCCTAATGTGACATAGCTGGTTCTACCGAGTTTGTGGAGTCAGTAGTGAGTCCTATGTAAACGTGAGTAGTAAAATCCATTTGCCTTTTCAAAACACCACCTTCTACCCCAATAAATCAAGATTATGGAGTATTAGCTGACAGGATACAAGACTTCAATCAGTTACAGTGATATCCGCTTAAAATTAATCCATAAGCCATTTATGACCTCTTGCTACATACATAACCAAGTATCAAGTAAGACAGACCACTTCAGGTCTTCAACCTTCATTCTAGAACCCAAAACCCTAGTTCGAGCTGAATCAAATATTTTAACAAACATCTGACATTGCCAATACATTGTAACTAGTAACTACATAATGCACTAATCAATAAATTCAAGAGGAAGAGTTTATTGAAATCTGTTTACTTTTTAGAACACCACCTTACTTTCTACCTCAATAAATCAAGATTAGTGGAGTATTGGCCGGCGCCGCCTGGCGGGATACGAGACTTCGATCAGTTTCAGTGATATTTCACTTAGAAAAAAAATCAATAAGCCATTTTATGACCTCTTGCCACTTACATAACTAAGTATCAAGTAAGTCCATTTCAAGCTTTATTCTGGAACCCAGAACCAGAGAGTTTGAGCTGAATCAGATATTTAACTAGAATCTAAGTTTGCCATCAAGTTGTAACCTCAGAATGCACTAAATCAATAATTTTCAAGTGGAAGAGTTCATTACTTGCAACTAGATCACCATATTCATCGTTGTAGATAATGGCTGCCTTGAAACCTGCGGCCTGGGCTTGTCTGACTTTATCTTCAAAACTACATCCACCACCCCTTATTATCAGCAAGAATGGATCATGGGTGCTATTTTTAACTGGTTCATCCTTGTTAGTCAAAGTCAAGCAGGCATCTAAAGGCTCCGCCACATACAATGTCCCACATTTGCCTGATCCCCTCACTGAGGGAGCTGATATTTGAAAAAGATACATTTAGTACAAATTACAACAGCATCAAAGAAAGTAAACAACATGCCAAAAAGAAGTTTTAGGAAAACAAGATTAAGTTTCAATGAAAAAGCAACAGTAGCAGCAGTAAAATATCATGAATCAAATTATACTACATCCACAATTTCTTACTGTTAGAGATAAAGTTCAATCACTATAAGTTAGGATAGTGATTTCTATAAGTTAGGATAGATAAGTTTTGTTAGCTACAGTTTGGGATATATAGCTAAGTGTTAGCTATATTATCTTCGTATTCTTCTGTAGTTTCTTGTAAACAACTGTGTATATATTCAGCAATTCTACTCAATAGAAAACACACTGAATTCTCTCAATATCTGATCGTGTAACATGGTACCAGAGCCTACAATGGAATCATCAACTCTCAACTTTCAGATTCCACCTCTACAACAACAACCTTAAGCACTCCAAGTCTTTTTGCAACTTTACCCCATGCTCAACTTTCTTTTTCTATAAAACTCAAACCAACAAACTACCTTGACTTGGAAAACACAAATTGTTCCTATCATCAAATGTTACAATCTTATTCAATCATATCAATGGTACACCAGCACCTCCCTCCACCATCATCAACACCACAACAAGTCAATCAAACCCAAATTCTGAGTATCTAAAGTGGTTACAAGAAGACCAACTCTTACTAAGTTGGATCTTATCATCTTTAACCAAGGAAATTTTTCCTTTTGTGACTGGTTTAGATACTGCCTTTGAAGCTTGCACCACTCTCTCAAATGCATTTGGCATAAGCAACAGCCCTAGAAGAGTCCAATTACACATCACCTTGCAAAACATTACACTTGGTGACAAACTACTGGATCAATTTCTTCGCGAAGCTAAGGCTATCACTGACGAGCTTGTCGCGGCAGGCACACGTGTCTCCTGATGAATTCAATGCCACCATTTTCCAATTACTTCCTTCTGATTATCATCCTGTCATTGCCACATTTTCTGATCTTTCTGGTAGACTTATGGTTCATGAGATCCTCTTGCAGAACTCTCGCAAACCAATCTTTGTTGTTGCCATTGTTGCTGGACAACACACTACATCTGCACGTCAATTCCATCAGAGCTCCCAGAAAAACAATAATGCATCCTCTAAAGGAAACAAGACATGGTTTCATAAACCTTGTCAAATCTGTGGACTCAATAATTATCAAGCTAAGTGATGTCGCAAACGTTATGATCCTCCTAATAATATCACTGCCAATGCCGCCAATGTTAATGCTTCTTCCAATGATTGGTTTCCTAAACCTGTTGCTTCTCATCACATGACTCCTGATTTATCTGCACTTGAGATTCTCAGAGGAGTACAAAGGGCCTGACACAGTCACTATAGGCAATGGACATGGTTTGCACATTAAAAACATTGGTCACACTACATTATCTTCTAGTAATAATCAGTTTCATTTGAAAAATGTTTTACATGTGCCTGACATACAACAATTGTTGTCTGTTAATAAATTTGCTGAATACACTCAATGCTCTTTGAAATTTGACTGATGAGTTTACTGTGAAACAATCAACCAATAAAAAGGTGTTGTTGAAGGGACTAATTGAGGACAGAATTTACAGGGTTCCTATTGCTACATTAGAGGACATTACAAGGCAGAGCAAGCCTTTTAAATCAGTATGGACTGCTGCACCCGATTGGCATGCTCGGATTGGTCACCAACAGTCTCCTTTAATGTTAATATAGGCTTTGTTTGCCTAGTAACTCGATAAAATCCTCAGGCCTATGTCAAGTTTGTTTTTTAGGCAAACATAGTCAGACTTCTTTACCTGTCACTGCCTCTATTGATGTAAGCCATTGGAATTGATTCAAGGAGATGTATGGGGACCAACTCCCAACTATCTTTTTTAATGGAAACAAGTATTTTATTCTATTTGTGGATGATTTCTCTCGTTATTATTGGTTATTCACAATTAAACAAAAAAATGAGGTTCTTTCTACTTTTGTTGAATTCCACAAACTGGTTTGAAAACAGTTTCAAACCAAAATCATTAATTTCCAATCAGATTGGGATGGTGAATTTCGTACTGTCAATACTTATTTGAAGGAACCTGGTATTCAACATCACATTACTTGTCGTCATACACATCAGCAAAATGGTCAAGTTGAAAGGAAAATCAGACACCTAGTGGATACATGCCTCACCCTGCTCACTTATTCTGCAGTTCCATCTAGATTTTGGAAGTTCGCTGTGCACGCCATTGCATACTTAGTTAACAGGATCCCTACTCAAGTGTTTCAACATGTCTCACTATTTGAAAAGCTTCAGGACACTTCACCAGATTATGAATTGAGTCGTGTCTTTAGCAGCTTGTGTTTTTCTCGGTTACGCCAAGGACCATCATGGGTATGTCTGCTTCAATCCTCATGATAGTAAAATTTATCTTAGTAGACATGTTCATATTGATGAAACCTGTTCTCTATATAAGGAGAAAAAGTTGTTTGATTCCTATGTCCTAGGCACTCCTCCAGGGAAATTTATTTCCACTCATTGGCTCACATTAATCGCGTCAATACAGCAACCTAACTCAATTGTACCATCATCTTCGAAACTTCCACATAATTCAGTAGATTCTTCTAACAACAACAATTCTGGCTTTAGCTTCTCATCTTCTAGTGCTTCTCAAGATCACATTAATTTCCCTTCGGAGCAGAAAATGGATATCCTTCCAACTCCTACTGAGCCAACACAACCACCTGGACGCATTTATCCAATGGTTCTAAGACAAAATACTAAGAAGAAGTTTCTGGTTTTCGTCTGTTTCGGATGATAAAAGTTAAATCTTCCTCTGTTACTCTTTCGAAACCAACATGCTACACAAAAGTACTCAAAGGTCCATCATGGAGAAAAGCTATGAGCTCTAAAATAACTGCTTTGATACAACATCAAACATGGGAACTTGATCCTAAACCATCACATTCCAATATTATGGGTTGCAAATGAGTTTTCCGACTCAAACACCATCCTGATGGCACCATCAAGCGGTGCAATGATCGCTTGGTAGTCAAAGGATCAAGTTGAGGGAATAGATTATGATGCCACTTTCAGTCCGGTTATCAAGCCTACAACAGTCCGAGTTGTTCTTTCCTTGGCAATCTCCAACAGATGGACTCTTCAGCAATTGGACATTTTCAATGCATTTCTCAAAGGAAACTTGGAAGCGGATGTGTATACGTCTCAATCTCCAGCTTTATTGATCAATGATGTCCTGATTAAGTGTAAGTTGAGGATATCAATCTATGGCCTTAAACAAGCCCTACAGGCTTGGTTAACTATTTATCATTACCCAATTTGCGAAACCAAATTAGTATACAAAAAAAGAAGATCAATTCCATTGCCAATAACAGAACGTCATGAGCCCTGAATGCAAGTTCTTTCAGTTCCTTCTGGACTAATCTTTCACAATGCAAATAAAGATCTGTTGATTCCTTTTCGTACAACAAAGGAAACAGTAGAAAAAGGGTAAACTTGCTTAACAAGAGTGAAGTTTCTTCTGTACAGAATGGTAGATAACTTCTATTTCCCAACAATGACCTATCGACAACTCCAAATTGCCAAAAACTAGATTGCAAATAGGATTTAGTTTACCATGTAACAGAGGCAGGTAAAATTAAACAAAAAACTTCAGTATACATAAGCTACTAAAACTTTTAAACAAACTCACCTACCAATTTCCATTCAATATCACTCCCAAACCATTCCAGTTTACAGCATAATACAAACTAGAACAAAGATCAATACTAAATACAAAACAAATAAGGGCATAGCAAAGTAAAAGTAAGATTTAACTCACCAAAATTAGCTTCAATGTCTTCAAACGATAAAGTTTCATTCTTTCCTACCAAAACCACATTACCAAGAACTTTACAACCCGAAAGACAAACAACACTCAAGTACCAAAATACCCACAAATTCATCATCTCTAACAAACCCTTTCTGCCAATTATCAAGAAAATATGAAGAAACCCAAAAACCCACAAAAACAAAAAGTATCAATTCAATTCACCATGTTCGACTCCACAAGCACATCTCAAATCTCACAAAACCCCACAACACTTTACGCTAATTTTTAAGAAAATCCCACAAAAAGGTAATCTTTTTTTTACTTTGTTGAAAGAATAGAAACATCAGCTTCCATTCTCTATCCAACAAGAAGGAAACATTCGCTTAGTGATAATTTTAGTCCTTTTTTTTTTCTTTCCTTTTTCCCTTTTGGGTGTTTTGAGAGAGGAGGAGAAAAAAAGAAGTTTTTGGAAGGATTTGTGAATTTTTGGTGACAAAGTACATTTAAGAAAGGGAAAACAATAAAATAAAAAATTGCTATTTTTATATAAGATTTGATGGTTTATACAGTGTGTGCTCCTCACTGTTGTGTGATGATTATCTCAAGCTAAAAATACATGAAGATAGGAAAAAAGACTTAAATTATTGAAAGTTGAAGAAAAGCTAAAAAGGTTGAATGGCTTTGATTATAGATTATACATGCACAAAATGACCATAATAACCCCACTCTGTTGGAATATACCTCAGGGATCGTTGGATATAGGGTATAAGAATAGTGTTAGTTAAACTTATATTAGTTATGTTTTTTTTTATGCGATGTTTGATTTGGTGTATCTAAGCAATATGCATTGCATAATATATATATATATATATACACACACTCTAATGATCTCTTAGTGAGTTTTATTTTCATTACCCTTTTGTCCCTTTTCCTAGTAATGATTTTTTCCCCGAAAAATAGACATAAATCATCGTTCATCAAAATAATAGTAGGAATTGATTGATTTTGATTTTTAGCTAATGAATATAATTATTTTTGGCTAATCTATCGAACATGTAACTGGCCCCAAAATATTTAAGAAGAAAAAAAATAGTGAAAATTTTGATAAGTTTTTCAGTAGAAACTTTAGAAATTATAGTGATTTTCTTTTTGGAGATATATTATTCTTCATGTTCTTGGTATTATTATCACTATTTTCTTCTTCAACTGTTATTAATTTTTTCATTCTTGAAATTCAAAGATTACAATTGATTCTAAAAGTTATGTGCACAATGTCTGCCAGATTAGCATAACTGCATAAGACTTGAATTTTAATTATTATTTTCACTATTCAAAGACCATCAAATTAGGTAGCATTAAATTCATAAATTAAAAATTTTGGTATAAAATTAACTTTCTTAGGTGAATTATTACTTATAACAGTAATAATCCAATCATGGATACAAAAGGATACACTTTTGTTGTGTTAAACCATTTAATCTAGATTCTAAATTTCTCACTTATAATAATATATATATCATGCCTTAATAGATAAACAAATTCTAAACAAACTAGAATCGTCTAGAATCCAATAAAATAATTGATAAAGAAATCAATTTTAAACATAAAATATTTTTTCTTTTTCATTAATTATACATTATTACAGTACTATTTGTCTAAGAAATTTTCAATATAATAGTAAGCATATGAACATAAATCAACAAATTCATTTTATTATAATTATTTGATTCAAATTAAAAAAAATTCTTATTATGAAAACATGTAAAAGATTTCTAAAATGACTCGCATTTTTTCTCATTCATAATAATTTATAGGTATAGTTCTTTTAATTAATATTGATGCAACAACAATAATGATATGTATAATATAGTCCCATGAATAAAGTTTGGAATGTAGATTTTCAAGAACTTAATGATTTTTGCTCAAATGTTATATTTATATTGTGCAATTCTTTAAAGATATCAAAAGTTTGAGCTGAAACTCAATATCAAAATACTATCTCTGTTCATCGCACAAAAGAGAGTAAGTTGAAACTCAACTCACGTTCTTAGGGATCAAATCCTCTTTGGTCACTTCGTTTTAAAATTTGTCTTTTGTCTTGAATTCAAAACTTAAATGACTTGTGAAAATAAAAAAGTGATCAAAATAACATATGAAAAGAAATTATTAAAAAAAGGGAAAAGGGTAAAAAAATGCCATTAAACTATGTGAAAGGAACAAAAATGTCCTTCGTTTATAGTTTGGTTCAAAAATATCCTTACCGTCAATACTTTGATTCAAAAATGCCCTAAGATATATTAATAATCTCCCTAAGATAATATTTTCTTCCTGTCCTGACTTGGGCCAATGAAAAATATCACTCATTTCGATAAAATAATAAGATAATATATTTTCAGAAAAACCCTCTATAAATATATGGTCCCATCACTATTATAAATTAATAATTCTTTAAAAGTACAAATATATCTAAAACAATTTAGTGAATTATGACTATTGTGTTTTTTTTGTTAAAATTTAAATCTAGTTGAAGTTCATTTCTAACTTCTGCATCGAAAAGTTTCGGTGTTGTCTTTTCGAACTGCACCATAAATTTATGAAGAGTTCTAGATGCGATAGATGTTTTCTTATGTGTAACTGGTTGAAAATGTATTGTATCATCTTCAACTTCATCATCAACATTGTTTTTCCAGGTATCCACAATTTTTTTTAAGTAATGGGTAAAGGACCTCTAAACATGTATCATTTTCATCCGGGTAATCCAAAAGGTTATTGACGTCAATTTATTTGTGGTAACTGAGATCATTAGTCATGACCTCACGTTCATAAATGACGTTTTTTACAAAATACAAAATTTATCGATTAAATAATACCTCTATAAAATAATAATATTTCATGATCCCACCTATATTAATTTAGTGAGGTTTTACTCTAATAATATTTAAATATTGATCCATAATTATCATGCACCTCATAGAGGGTACTGGATTAATCTAGTCACAACTGTCCTTTTTAGTTTATAAAATGATTAATTTGTATGATGAAGTAGTTATTTTATTTATTTATGGAAAAGTAGTTGTAAAGGGGTGAGGAGGGAGTAGTTAGGGGGTGGTTGGGTTCACACTTCACATGATTGATTTACTTTGATTATAATGGAGACCTAATGAGTCAACAAGCAAAAGAATGCCAAGAAAATAAAGGATTTTAAGTGCAAAATGATAAGATTGTATTTGTTTATTTAGGTTGTCCAACATTGTTTTTTTCCTATTCCTTTTCATTTTTTTTGAATTATTTTATTATAATAAGAGAAAATATTCAACACGAATTTTATGTAAGATCTTTCTTTTATGACGTTTTAAATATAAGCCATCTATTTCATAAAAGTAGACTAAATTTTCCTCTTAAATATTGTATTTCTTTTGTGTTAACAATATAATTGAAAATAATTATCAATTTTTATCTTGAATTATTTAAGTAACAATTATTTTGAAATAATTTTTTTGAGCTAAAACGATAATGATAAGAGAGAAACTGATTATTAGCTTTTGTTTTGTATCTTCCAGTGCATTCTAGTAGGAGTTTGTTATATGGATTTGAAAGTCCAGAATTGTTTTGTCTATTTTTAAAAAAGATAAAAGTGAAAGAAAATTACATACATTTAGTTTCTATATAGGCTAAATAAAAAATGGAAGTCTTAATGCATGGTTTGGATTCTGAAATTGATTTACAATTAAATCATTTAATTAGTTGGAGTGTATATGTAGTATTTGAATCATAAATACTAGTTAAAAAGAGATTTATTTGGGGTACGATATAAATTTTCTTTTAAGCAAGTGTGTCATCTATTTAAGCAAGTAGGACGTCTAAGCACATAGCACGTTTAAGAAAGTAGAACATATAAACATATAAACAAGTAGATGAAGCACGTGGATAAAGCAAGTAGGTGACGCACCCAAAATGGAAGGAGAACAAATTAATGGATTAACGGACTAATTAACACCCTTTATGAATGAACTCAACCTAATAATTATTTCCAACACTATCAAATTTCTTAATCAATTTCATATAAACATGGTGGTTATATATACAAAAAAAAATTGAACACAAATGAGTAACTTATGGAAAACTAATTAGACAATGACATGAAACCATAAAGTCAATCAAATAAAATGAAATTAAGACATCTTCCTTCAAAACAAAGACAACACATAAATATATATAGATATTAAGAAGACACGTTTACACATTAGACTAAAATCGACAAAACATAGATTAGTAGACGATATAATTAATTTGACAAAGTACAAACTATTCTTTCAAAAATATTTGTATGAAATCTAGAAAAACACAATGGGTGTAGGGGTGAGGAGGAGACCGTGATTTTGGAATGCCACTCGTGCAATTTGATTTTCCACATCAATTAGAGGATTTTATTTTTTTTTAATTTTGAATAAACTTGTTTTTTTCCAGAGAACATATTTTTTTAAAATAATTTGACCACTCAAAGATGAGAATATTCAAAAGCATGCCAAACACAACAACATACTCGTGGAATCTCAAAGTGAAGTTTAGGAAGGATAGAATGTAAGCAGATTTTACCATTACCCTTACCTTTTCCTCTATCTTGAGAGATAAAAGAAGTAATTTTACATGACAAAATAATGTATATCAAACACTAATTAGACATTATTTTCAAGCTGTAATACTCAAAAAATCTCATTTAAACACTACCAAATTTGCTAAAACTTATATCAACCTTTTAAAAATGTTTTCCCCAAAAGCTATTTTTCTTTCTCCAACCAAACAACAGAAAGCATTTTCTGGAATTTCTTTTTCTTCAGAAAATAAATGCCATATTATACTTACTCAAATATTTCCAAGATATTATCCCTTTATTTCTTCTATAGGATATAAAACATAACATAGTTAATCCACATTTGCCCCATATTCAGCTCAAAGCTTAAAATATTGAGATTTGTCACTTTCACACCAATAAGAAATAATATGTCTATACAGTCAACTACAAGATCCCACCATTCTATTTTTCTTTATATAATCAGTAAGGTGAAGAAAAAAAAAAAGATTAACAGAACTACATAAAACACAACATTAATCAAGACAACTGACTTCTCTGGCCTTGCAGCATGGCAAACTCAAGAAGTAAATCTTGATCTATCTAATATAGTTGACATGCAAACACTAATGAACAACAAAAGTAAAAAAAAAAAAAAAAAACTTCAATATTTTTTCCATGTACCTATTGGAACTCCCAGAATGTTTCTGCCCTATTTTCAGGAAAGTTTAAAGATGATGAAACCGCGTCCTTCTGCTAGCTCTGATCTGTCAATAGTGAAGCCGCGACTCTCTTCAATGATTTACTAGCTTTCTCTAGATCAGATTCTGAGTGCCCTGCTGACACAAACAATCGAAGCCCAACTGGCAATTTACATTTATCAAGTGTTGATCTCTTTGAAGTAACAACAAAAACGGAATCTTCCTTCAA